AAAGTACATCAGAATTGACTTCATCTTCAACAGAAATATCTTCAGCTACAGTAGAACAAACAACAAGCCAGCAGACACAAACCTCTCCAGATACTTCTAGCACAGAAACTGAACCTACAACGACAGTTTACTCAACATTTACAACAGCAATGTCCCCTATGAGCACACCACAATAGAATCATCTACAGGTGAAAGTGGTTCAACACTGGAAACTACAATATCCACAACAGGTACCTCTACCATCTTCTACAACAGAAAGTACATCAGAATTGACTTCATCTTCAACAGAAATATCTTCAGCTACAGTAGAACAAACAACAAGCCAGCTGACACAAACCTCTCCAGATACTTCTAGCACAGAAACTGAATTTAAAACGACAGTTTACTCAACATTTACAACATCTATGTCCCCTATGAGCACAACCACTTTAGAATCATCTACAGGTGAAAGTGTTCAACACTGGAAACTACAATATCCACAACAGGTACCTCTCCATCTTCACCATCTTCTACAACAGAAAGTACATCAGAATTGACTTCACTACAACAGAAATATCTTCAGCTACAGTAGAACAAACAACAAGCCAGCAGACACAAACCTCTCCAGATACTTCTAGCACAGAAACTGAACTACAACGACAGTTTACTCAACATTTACAACATCTATGTCCCTATGAGCACAACCACAATAGAATCATCTACAGGTGAAAGTGGTTCAACACTGGAAACTACAATATCCACAACAGGTACCTCTCCATCTTCACCGTCTTCTACAACAGAAAGTACATCAGAATTGACTTCATCTTCAACAGAAATATCTTCAGCTACAGTAGAACAAACAACAAGCCAGCAGACACAAACCTCTCCAGATACTTCTAGCACAGAAACTGAATCCACAACGACAGTTTACTCAACATTTACAACATCTATGTCCCCTATGAGCACAACCACTTTAGAATCATCTACAGGTGAAAGTGGTTCAACACTGGAAACTACAATATCCACAACAGGTACCTCTCCATCTTCACCGTCTTCTACAACAGAAAGTACATCAGAATTGACTATATCTTCAACAGAAATATCTTCAGCTAGTGTAGGACAATCAACAAGCCAGCAGACACAAACCTCTCCAGATACTTCTAGCACAGAAACTGAACCTACAACGACAGTTTACTCGACATTTACAACAGCAATGTCCCCTATGAGCACAACCACTTTAGAATCATCTACAGGTGAAAGTGGTTCAACACTGGAAACTACAATATCCACAACAGGTACCTCTCCATCTTCACCATCTTCTACAACAGAAAGTACATCAGAATTGACTTCATCTTCAACAGAAATATCTTCAGCTAGTGTAGGACAATCAACAAGCCAGCAGACACAAACCTCTCAGATACTTCTAGCACAGAAACTGAATCCACAACGACAGTTTACTCAACATTTACAACAGCAATGTCCCCTATGAGCACAACCACTTTAGAATCATCTACAGGTGAAAGTGGTTCAACACTGGAAACTACAATATCCACAACAGGTACCTCTCCATCTTCATCATCTTCTACAACAGAAAGTACATCAGAATTGACTTCATCTACAACCGAAATATCTTCAGCTAGTGTAGAACAATCAACAAGCCAGCAGACACAAACCTCTCCAGATACTTCTAGCACAGAAACTGAATTTACAACGACAGTTTACTCAACATTTACAACATCTATGTCCCCTATGAGCACAACCACAATAGAATCATCTACAGGTGAAAGTGGTTCAACACTGGAAACTACAATATCCACAACAGGTACCTCTCCATCTTCTACAACAGAAAGTACATCAGAATTGACTTCATCTTCAACAGAAATATCTTCAGCTACAGTAGAACAAACAACAAGCCAGCAGACACAAACCTCTCCAGATACTTCTAGCACAGAAACTGAACCTACAACGACAGTTTACTCAACATTTACAACATCTATGTCCCCTATGAGCACAACCACTTTAGAATCATCTACAGGTGAAAGTGGTTCAACACTGGAAACTACAATATCCACAACAGGTACCTCTCCATCTTCACCATCTTCTACAACAGAAAGTACATCAGAATTGACTTCATCTTCAACAGAAATATCTTCAGCTACAGTAGAACAAACAACAAGCCAGCAGACACAAACCTCTCCAGATACTTCTAGCACAGAAACTGAACCTACAACGACAGTTTACTCAACATTTACAACAGCAATGTCCCCTATGAGCACAACCACTTTAGAATCATCTACAGGTGAAAGTGGTTCAACACTGGAAACTACAATATCCACAACAGGTACCTCTCCATCTTCTACAACAGAAAGTACATCAGAACTGACTTCATCTACAACAGAAATATCTTCAGCTAGTGTAGGACAATCAACAAGCCAGCTGACACAAACCTCTACAGACACTTCTAGCACAGACACTGAATCCACAACGACAGTTTACTCAACATTTACAACAGCAATGTCCCCTATGAGCACAACCACTTTAGAATCATCTACAGGTGAAAGTGGTTCAACACTGGAAACTACAATATCCACAACAGGTACCTCTCCATCTTCACCATCTTCTACAACAGAAAGTACATCAGAATTGACTTCGTCTACAACAGAAATATCTTCAGCTAGTGTAGGACAATCAACAAGCCAGCAGACACAAACCTCTACAGATACTTCCAGCACAGAAACTGAATTTACAACGACAGTTTACTCAACATTTACAACATCTATGTCCCCTATGAGCACAACCACAATAGAATCATCTACAGGTGAAAGTGGTTCAACACTGGAAACTACAATATCCACAACAGGTACCTCTCCATCTTCTACAACAGAAAGTACATCAGAATTGACTTCATCTTCAACAGAAATATCTTCAGCTACAGTAGAACAAACAACAAGCCAGCTGACACAAACCTCTCCAGATACTTCTAGCACAGAAACTGAACCTACAACGACAGCTTACTCAACATTTACAACATCTATGTCCCCTATGAGCACAACCACTTTAGAATCATCTACAGGTGAAAGTGGTTCAACACTGGAAACTACAATATCCACAACAGGTACCTCTCCATCTTCACCATCTTCTACAACAGAAAGTACATCAGAATTGACTTCATCTTCAACAGAAATATCTTCAGCTACAGTAGAACAAACAACAAGCCAGCTGACACAAACCTCTCCAGATACTTCTAGCACAGAAACTGAACCTACAACGACAGTTTACTCAACATTTACAACATCTATGTCCCCTATGAGCACAACCACTTTAGAATCATCTACAGGTGAAAGTGGTTCAACACTGGAAACTACAATATCCACAACAGGTACCTCTCCATCTTCACCATCTTCTACAACAGAAAGTACATCAGAATTGACTTCATCTTCAACAGAAATATCTTCAGCTACAGTAGAACAAACAACAAGCCAGCTGACACAAACCTCTCCAGATACTTCTAGCACAGAAACTGAACCTACAACGACAGTTTACTCGACATTTACAACAGCAATGTCCCCTATGAGCACAACCACTTTAGAATCATCTACAGGTGAAAGTGGTTCAACACTGGAAACTACAATATCCACAACAGGTACCTCTCCATCTTCACCATCTTCTACAACAGAAAGTACATCAGAACTGACTTCATCTACAACAGAAATATCTTCAGCTAGTGTAGGACAATCAACAAGCCAGCAGACACAAACCTCTACAGATGCTTCCAGCACAGAAACTGAATTTACAACGACAGTTTACTCAACATTTACAACATCTATGTCCCCTATGAGCACAACCACTTTAGAATCATCTACAGGTGAAAGTGGTTCAACACTGGAAACTACAATATCCACAACAGGTACCTCTCCATCTTCTACAACAGAAAGTACATCAGAATTGACTTCATCTACAACAGAAATATCTTCAGCTAGTGTAGACAATCAACAAGCCAGCAGACACAAACCTCTCCAGATACTTCTAGCACAGAAACTGAATCTACAACGACAGTTTACTCAACATTTACAACATCTATGTCCCCTATGAGCACAACCACTTTAGAATCATCTACAGGTGAAAGTGGTTCAACACTGGAAACTACAATATCCACAACAGGTACCTCTCCATCTTCACCATCTTCTACAACAGAAAGTACATCAGAATTGACTTCATCTTCAACAGAAATATCTTCAGCTACAGTAGAACAAACAACAAGCCAGCTGACACAAACCTCTCCAGATACTTCTAGCACAGAAACTGAACCTACAACGACAGTTTACTCAACATTTACAACATCTATGTCCCCTATGAGCACAACCACTTTAGAATCATCTACAGGTGAAAGTGGTTCAACACTGGAAACTACAATATCCACAACAGGTACCTCTCCATCTTCATCATCTTCTACAACAGAAAGTACATCAGAATTGACTTCATCTACAACCGAAATATCTTCACCTAGTGTAGAACAATCAACAAGCCAGCAGACACAAACCTCTCCAGATACTTCTAGCACAGAAACTGAACCTACAACGACAGTTTACTCAACATTTACAACAGCAATGTCCCCTATGAGCACAACCACTTTAGAATCATCTACAGGTGAAAGTGGTTCAACACTGGAAACTACAATATCCACAACAGGTACCTCTCCATCTTCACCATCTTCTACAACAGAAAGTACATCAGAATTGACTTCATCTTCAACAGAAATATCTTCAGCTAGTGTAGGACAATTAACAAGCCAGCTGACACAAACCTCTACAGACACTTCTAGCACAGACACTGAATCCACAACGGCAGTTTACTCAACATTTACAACAGCAATGTCCCCTATGAGCACAACCACTTTAGAATCATCTACAGGTGAAAGTGGTTCAACACTGGAAACTACAATATCCACAACAGGTACCTCTCCATCTTCACCATCTTCTACAACAGAAAGTACATCAGAATTGACTTCATCTACAACAGAAATATCTTCAGCTAGTGTAGAACAATCAACAAGCCAGCAGACACAAACCTCTACAGATACTTCTAGCACAGAAACTGAATCTACAACGACAGTTTACTCAACATTTACAACATCTATGTCCCCTATGAGCACAACCACTTTAGAATCATCTACAGGTGAAAGTGGTTCAACACTGGAAACTACAATATCCACAACAGGTACCTCTCCATCTTCTACAACAGAAAGTACATCAGAACTGACTTCATCTACAACAGAAATATCTTCAGCTAGTGTAGGACAATCAACAAGCCAGCAGACACAAACCTCTACAGATACTTCCAGCACAGAAACTGAATTTACAACGACAGTTTACTCAACATTTACAACATCTATGTCCCCTATGAGCACAACCACTTTAGAATCATCTACAGGTGAAAGTGGTTCAACACTGGAAACTACAATATCCACAACAGGTACCTCTCCATCTTCTACAACAGAAAGTACATCAGAATTGACTTCATCTACAACAGAAATATCTTCAGCTAGTGTAGAACAATCAACAAGCCAGCAGACACAAACCTCTCCAGATACTTCTAGCACAGAAACTGAATCAACAACGACAGTTTACTCAACATTTACAACATCTATGTCCCCTATGAGCACAACCACAATAGAATCATCTACAGGTGAAAGTGGTTCAACACTGGGAACTACAATATCCACAACAGGTACCTCTCCATCTTCACCGTCTTCTACAACAGAAAGTACATCAGAATTGACTTCATCTTCAACAGAAATATCTTCAGCTACAGTAGAACAAACAACAAGCCAGCTGACACAAACCTCTACAGATACTTCTAGCACAGAAACTGAACCTACAACGACAGTTTACTCAACATTTACAACAGCAATGTCCCCTATGAGCACAACCACTTTAGAATCATCTACAGGTGAAAGTGGTTCAACACTGGAAACTACAATATCCACAACAGGTACCTCTCCATCTTCACCATCTTCTACAACAGAAAGTACATCAGAATTGACTTCATCTTCAACAGAAATATCTTCAGCTACAGTAGAACAAACAACAAGCCAGCTGACACAAACCTCTACAGATACTTCTAGCAGAGAAACTGAATCCACAACGACAGTTTACTCAACATTTACAACAGCAATGTCCCCTATGAGCACAACCACAATAGAATCATCTACAGGTGAAAGTGGTTCAACACTGGAAACTACAATATCCACAACAGGTACCTCTCCATCTTCTACAACAGAAAGTACATCAGAATTGACTTCATCTACAACAGAAATATCTTCAGCTACAGTAGAACAATCAACAAGCCAGCTGACACAAACCTCTCCAGATACTTCTAGCACAGAAACTGAATCCACAACGACAGTTTACTCAACATTTACAACAGCAATGTCCCCTATGAGCACAACCACAATAGAATCATCTACAGGTGAAAGTGGTTCAACACTGGAAACTACAATATCCACAACAGGTACCTCTCCATCTTCTACAACAGAAAGTACATCAGAATTGACTTCATCTTCAACAGAAATATCTTCAGCTACAGTAGAACAAACAACAAGCCAGCTGACACAAACCTCTCCAGATACTTCTAGCACAGAAACTGAACCTACAACGACAGTTTACTCAACATTTACAACATCTATGTCCCCTATGAGCACAACCACTTTAGAATCATCTACAGGTGAAAGTGGTTCAACACTGGAAACTACAATATCCACAACAGGTACCTCTCCATCTTCACCATCTTCTACAACAGAAAGTACATCAGAATTGACTTCATCTTCAACAGAAATATCTTCAGCTACAGTAGAACAAACAACAAGCCAGCAGACACAAACCTCTCCAGATACTTCTAGCACAGAAACTGAACCTACAACGACAGTTTACTCAACATTTACAACAGCAATGTCCCCTATGAGCACAACCACTTTAGAATCATCTACAGGTGAAAGTGGTTCAACACTGGAAACTACAATATCCACAACAGGTACCTCTCCATCTTCTACAACAGAAAGTACATCAGAATTGACTTCATCTACAACAGAAATATCTTCAGCTAGTGTAGGACAATCAACAAGCCAGCTGACACAAACCTCTACAGACACTTCTAGCACAGACACTGAATCCACAACGACAGTTTACTCAACATTTACAACAGCAATGTCCCCTATGAGCACAACCACTTTAGAATCATCTACAGGTGAAAGTGGTTCAACACTGGAAACTACAATATCCACAACAGGTACCTCTCCATCTTCACCATCTTCTACAACAGAAAGTACATCAGAACTGACTTCGTCTACAACAGAAATATCTTCAGCTAGTGTAGGACAATCAACAAGCCAGCAGACACAAACCTCTACAGATACTTCTAGCACAGAAACTGAATTTACAACGACAGTTTACTCAACATTTACAACATCTATGTCCCCTATGAGCACAACCACAATAGAATCATCTACAGGTGAAAGTGGTTCAACACTGGAAACTACAATATCCACAACAGGTACCTCTCCATCTTCTACAACAGAAAGTACATCAGAATTGACTTCATCTTCAACAGAAATATCTTCAGCTACAGTAGAACAAACAACAAGCCAGCAGACACAAACCTCTCCAGATACTTCTAGCACAGAAACTGAACCTACAACGACAGTTTACTCAACATTTACAACATCTATGTCCCCTATGAGCACAACCACTTTAGAATCATCTACAGGTGAAAGTGGTTCAACACTGGAAACTACAATATCCACAACAGGTACCTCTCCATCTTCACCATCTTCTACAACAGAAAGTACATCAGAATTGACTTCATCTTCAACAGAAATATCTTCAGCTACAGTAGAACAAACAACAAGCCAGCAGACACAAACCTCTCCAGATACTTCTAGCACAGAAACTGAACCTACAACGACAGTTTACTCGACATTTACAACAGCAATGTCCCCTATGAGCACAACCACTTTAGAATCATCTACAGGTGAAAGTGGTTCAACACTGGAAACTACAATATCCACAACAGGTACCTCTCCATCTTCACCGTCTTCTACAACAGAAAGTACATCAGAATTGACTTCATCTTCAACAGAAATATCTTCAGCTAGTGTAGGACAATCAACAAGCCAGCTGACACAAACCTCTACAGACACTTCTAGCAGAGACACTGAATCCACAACGACAGTTTACTCAACATTTACAACAGCAATGTCCCCTATGAGCACAACCACTTTAGAATCATCTACAGGTGAAAGTGGTTCAACACTGGAAACTACAATATCCACAACAGGTACCTCTCCATCTTCTACAACAGAAAGTACATCAGAACTGACTTCATCTACAACAGAAATATCTTCAGCTAGTGTAGGACAATCAACAAGCCAGCAGACACAAACCTCTCCAGATACTTCCAGCACAGAAACTGAATTTACAACGACAGTTTACTCAACATTTACAACATCTATGTCCCCTATGAGCACAACCACAATAGAATCATCTACAGGTGAAAGTGGTTCAACACTGGGAACTACAATATCCACAACAGGTACCTCTCCATCTTCACCGTCTTCTACAACAGAAAGTACATCAGAATTGACTTCATCTTCAACAGAAATATCTTCAGCTACAGTAGAACAAACAACAAGCCAGCTGACACAAACCTCTACAGATACTTCCAGCACAGAAACTGAATTTACAACGACAGTTTACTCAACATTTACAACATCTATGTCCCCTATGAGCACAACCACTTTAGAATCATCTACAGGTGAAAGTGGTTCAACACTGGAAACTACAATATCCACAACAGGTACCTCTCCATCTTCTACAACAGAAAGTACATCAGAACTGACTTCATCTACAACAGAAATATCTTCAGCTAGTGTAGGACAATCAACAAGCCAGCAGACACAAACCTCTCCAGATACTTCTAGCAGAGAAACTGAATCAACAACGACAGTTTACTCAACATTTACAACATCTATGTCCCCTATGAGCACAACCACAATAGAATCATCTACAGGTGAAAGTGGTTCAACACTGGAAACTACAATATCCACAACAGGTACCTCTCCATCTTCACCGTCTTCTACAACAGAAAGTACATCAGAATTGACTTCATCTTCAACAGAAATATCTTCAGCTACAGTAGAACAAACAACAAGCCAGCTGACACAAACCTCTACAGATACTTCTAGCACAGAAACTGAACCTACAACGACAGTTTACTCAACATTTACAACATCTATGTCCCCTATGAGCACAACCACAATAGAATCATCTACAGGTGAAAGTGGTTCAACACTGGAAACTACAATATCCACAACAGGTACCTCTCCATCTTCACCGTCTTCTACAACAGAAAGTACATCAGAATTGACTATATCTTCAACAGAAATATCTTCAGCTAGTGTAGGACAATCAACAAGCCAGCAGACACAAACCTCTCCAGATACTTCTAGCACAGAAACTGAACCTACAACGACAGTTTACTCGACATTTACAACAGCAATGTCCCCTATGAGCACAACCACTTTAGAATCATCTACAGGTGAAAGTGGTTCAACACTGGAAACTACAATATCCACAACAGGTACCTCTCCATCTTCACCATCTTCTACAACAGAAAGTACATCAGAACTGACTTCGTCTACAACAGAAATATCTTCAGCTAGTGTAGGACAATCAACAAGCCAGCAGACACAAACCTCTACAGATACTTCTAGCACAGAAACTGAATTTACAACGACAGTTTACTCAACATTTACAACATCTATGTCCCCTATGAGCACAACCACAATAGAATCATCTACAGGTGAAAGTGGTTCAACACTGGAAACTACAATATCCACAACAGGTACCTCTCCATCTTCTACAACAGAAAGTACATCAGAACTGACTTCATCTACAACAGAAATATCTTCAGCTACAGTAGAACAAACAACAAGCCAGCTGACACAAACCTCTACAGATACTTCTAGCACAGAAACTGAACCTACAACGACAGTTTACTCGACATTTACAACAGCAATGTCCCCTATGAGCACAACCACTTTAGAATCATCTACAGGTGAAAGTGGTTCAACACTGGAAACTACAATATCCACAACAGGTACCTCTCCATCTTCACCATCTTCTACAACAGAAAGTACATCAGAACTGACTTCATCTTCAACAGAAATATTTTCAGCTAGTGTAGGACAATCAACAAGCCAGCAGACACAAACCTCTACAGATACTTCTAGCACAGAAACTGAACCTACAACGACAGTTTACTCGACATTTACAACAGCAATGTCCCCTATGAGCACAACCACTTTAGAATCATCTACAGGTGAAAGTGGTTCAACACTGGAAACTACAATATCCACAACAGGTACCTCTCCATCTTCACCATCTTCTACAACAGAAAGTACATCAGAACTGACTTCATCTTCAACAGAAATATTTTCAGCTAGTGTAGGACAATCAACAAGCCAGCTGACACAAACCTCTCCAGATACTTCTAGCAGAGAAACTGAATCCACAACGACAGTTTACTCAACATTTACAACAGCAATGTCCCCTATGAGCACAACCACTTTAGAATCATCTACAGGTGAAAGTGGTTCAACACTGGAAACTACAATATCCACAACAGGTACCTCTCCATCTTCACCATCTTCTACAACAGAAAGTACATCAGAACTGACTTCATCTTCAACAGAAATATCTTCAGCTACAGTAGAACAATCAACAAGCCAGCTGACACAAACCTCTCCAGATACTTCTAGCACAGAAACTGAATCCACAACGACAGTTTACTCAACATTTACAACATCTATGTCCCCTATGAGCACAACCACATTAGAATTGTCTACAAGTAAAAGTGGTTCAACAGTGGAAACTACAATATCCACAACAGGTACCTCTCCATCTTCACCGTCTTCTACAACAGAAAGAAGTTCAGAATTGACTTCATCTACAACAGTAATATCTTCAGCTACTGTACAACAAACAAGCCAGTCGACAACTCAAACTTCATTTACAACAGCAATGTCTCCTATGAGCACAACCACATTAGAATTGTCTACAAGTGAAAGTGGTTCAACACTGGAAACATCAACAAAACCTCCTTTATCCACAACTTTTAGTTCAGTTTCAACAACTCAAAACTGTCTGGAGCAATGTCAGTGTAATGGATCTCCATGCATTTTCAATGTAACAACTGGGAAATGTGAATGTAAATGCAATCCTATCACTTATGGAGATTATTGCAATTTCGCAAATGACTCTTCTACGGCTATTTTGTGTAAGTTTTTATCATACTTTCTTATTTTATAATTATTACACTTGCTGTTGTCTATTTCTTCTTATTTTTCACATATGTTGTAAATAATTATTTCACTGCACTGTGTGTATTGAATCAATAGAAAATCAGCCACTAAGATACTTGTAGCCAATAATTTTTTCATCTGAAAGTTATTTATGTTTTAGAGCTAAAATGTTACACAACCCACGTAAATACTTGATGTCCTTAAAGTTCTTTTATTACAAAAGGTTTAGCACAATAGTTTCAATTTGCAGCTTACTTATGTCTCTCATGTTTAAATATCAAAGTCTTTCTAATCTTTCTAAATCTATTATTTATTTGCAGCTGAAGGAATACCCGCAAGGAAGGCAAATATCTCTCTTCGAATTTTAATGGAATATAATCCTGCGTATGGAAATTTGAACTCTTCCCAATCAAAACATCTAATTTCCATTTTAAAACAAGAGGTACATTTTCTTACTTTTCCTGAAGTAATTTAAAGCTCACAAAGTTTTTAAAAAAATATATTAAAAAAATACTTTTTTTTTGATACAGTGGACCTATAAGTATTCAGATTTTTAAGCCAAACTTATAAAATACATCAAATCAAAAATATATGAACGTTATTTGCATTTGACAGAACAGAGGGCTGTTCCATAAACCAAGATTAGAGTATAAGCCAGGCTTATTTCGGTTAGTCAGGCTTATTTTTGGTAGATTCGGTTTCATAAATCAAGCTTAAAAAAGTTGTTACCCCGGCAACTTATGCTGGCAAATTAACCTGGTCCGGGGCAGGCTAACTGTCAGGCTAAGTCTGAGTTCAGGCTTAACGAGCATACCATTTATACTCACCTGCTGGTATTTCGATGTCATTTTATTTTACTTAACATATTATTAACAATTATTAATACATTTTTTTTAAATAAATAAGGAAATTAACTTTACTAATAAATGTAAGTAATTATAAGGTATAAATACGCTAAGAAATGTTCAAAACTTTAATTGGTGAGTTTGTTTAATGAGTTTGTTAATTAATTAATTAATTACAAGTATATAAATAGGGAGCTGAACTAGTTTCCAAACTTAACCATAGTGTGTCCTTTGATAGATGAGGTGGTGGATGAGGGAGCTATAGTCTTGTGGAGGGCATTTCAAAGAGAGAGAACTTTCAAAGACAGGTCAGACCCATTGGCATTTAATGACAGCTACCTGTATGAACGATATAGGTTCTCAAGAGATGGGATTGCATATATTTGTAGATTACCAAGCCCACACATATGCAAATAATTATTTTGTTTAATATGGTCTAAACCATGACTGTGTAGCATTGAACCTTTTATTTTCCACTGGCCCTTCAACTTTCTCCTTAGTTGAACAAACACAGAGAAGTCAAAGTATCTAACGTGTCTTTATTCAGAGTGAATCTGCCTGTTAGGGGTGAAAACACACAAATAAATGTTGTGAATGATCAAAAAGATCATGTTTTTTTCTTTTCCTTTTTAAAAAAAATGGTAGTTCTACTTGCATTTTTCTGTAGCTGTTGAATTTCCAGCTCCATCTTCCTCATCTTCAGTTTTTTTATACTGGATGTCGACATCAATTGCTTCCAGTTTAGCGTTTATACACTCCTTTTATGTTTTCTGGGTTCTGTAGAAACATAGATTTAAGTTATTTCATTGAATACTCTTGTCACATTGTTTTCATTTCTTAATACTCACTTTGTCACATGTGGTCCCAGACTGAGAGGGCTCTAGAACAATGTCAGGATCCTGAAAACACATTATGATCATTTTGGCACACAAGTACACTTTTTAATATTCAATACAGTATAGCATGGATGGAAGCTGTGAGTACCCCCTCCTTAAACATACAGACACAGTCTCCTCATCCTCCTCAACTGATGGGCCTTCTCCCTGTCTGTGAGCACTGATTAGTTAAACTCATCGCTTAGATGACTGATTTAAAAGGTCTCATACTCGCAGGCAACATGATGTCTGGTGGATCCATAAAGCATACAGAATCTTGATATATTTTTTTTACCCAAATGCACCATTACAGTAGCACAAGTACCTCTACCTGACATTACTGCTATGATGTACCTAAGGAAGGAGGAAATCAGTTAGTCAGGAAGGAATAATGATAATAAAACACACACACCTTTTATATACTCACTCCTTATACATGATATCATTTTAGATGATGTCCCACCCTCTATTCCCTCAAGGACGGGCCTCCCTTTATTAATTTCCAAAGCCAGCTCCTCTGCAGGAGTGACGCTGGCTGGTGGTGGCCTTCTCCCAGTGCCAGCAACCTCAGTCTTCTTTTTGGTCGCTGCAATAAAAAAATTTTTTTTTTTAAACGTGAATAGTTGTAACTTTAAGCTGGCATTGATTACATATCTACATACCATTAGATTTACTTACCATTCTGAACTATATTTTTTATTTTCACCTGCTGCCAGGGTCTTTTTCCTTCACTTAAGTTGCTGCTGCGTGAAAGCAATTAAGGTTACTGTTATTCACACACAAACTTTTCAATGTATTGTGACACTTATTAAAGGTTGATAAAGTATTTTAAATAGTTTACACTGCTACTTACGCATTGAGATGATCAGCAATTTCCGGTCAACCTTTCTCACTTGCTTTATTTATTGCCGCTGTATTGCCTTTTTTGGTGATGACATCTTTAAATTCGCAAACGCAAACGCTGTTCCGTTGCCGTGAACATCGCTGCTCTTTTCCTTTTGTTGCCATGGTAGCCCACAGTAAATCGATTGATCCATGCTCGACTTTTCAGGACTTTTAAAGAATGGCGTGTATGCGCAATTATCTACACTATTTAAACCCGACTCAAGTTAGTAAGATCATATGATCCTCAACTTACTGTTATGGAACCAATTTAAGCGCGGATGTTTAGGTCGGCTCATTCAAGTCAGGTTTTGGATTTTAATCCCCGCTTTTCTAAGCGGCTTTTATGGAACAGCCCCCAGGTCTTAAAAATCAAATTAGATTACAAAACATTAGTTAATTGCACAAGTTAATATCTGCATTTTTGCAAAATATATTGTATGACTATTTATGCATGAAAAAAAAAACGTATTTTTGATTTTTTTTTTAACAGCTTTCAATCCTTTGCAAAAGAGCAAATCCACAAAACTTCAAAGATGTGCACATTGTTAGGCTAATGTAAGTTAATTTATCTTGAATTTCATACATTTACTAATACATTTGCAAAGCAAAACTTATATGTGGCATGTACTTTTTCAAGGAGAGGGAGTGTCATTGCTGAAAGTGTTGCAGAATATAACTATCCCAACAACAACTCACAAATAATGATGTTAAATACAAATCTGGGACCCGCACTGGAACAAATATTTGAAGACCCAAATTCCCTGAAAAATCTCAGCGTAGCTCTCGGTAATGTTCCCATCGAATCTAGCAATATTACCATGGAGAATGCTACGGTATTGGGTAAGTTACCTTTTAATTTTTATCTTACCTTTTTATCTTAAGACGTACTTATTCATTGCTGCGTATGAGTCCTGAATGTTTAGTGATTTTATGTTTTTTTGTATAGTGGTATTACTTCTTATTGTTTTGTATTGTTAACATTTTATCTTGTTGTACAGCACTTTGATGGAAAGCGCTCTATAAATAAATGTATTATTATTATTTTAAAAACAGATATCATAATTTAACATATTTTAGTAAGAAACAAAAGGTAGACTTCCTTTAAGGGACACATGGATTACCGTTGTACTATTATTTCTAATTTTTCTGTAATATGGCTCTTTTGTATTAATTTATTAAGATCTTTAATTTGCATATCTTTGTCATGTGTAGATATTTCAGAACTAAAACCATTTGTGAACTGTCCTGAGAATTTTGCTAATTTAACGGAGGAGATTGAAAATGGAGTATGGGTGTGTGTGGGATCATGCAAAAAAAATGTCAACTTCTGCAATCAACATGGTAAATGCCTAAATGAAATAACTGGACCACAGTGCAAGTAAGTGTTTCAATGCAAATTTCTAATAATTACAAACTGCTCAGTCTTCAGTTAATTAAAGGATATTTTCCTAAAAAAAAAAAATTAAAGGTACACTATGTAACTTTATATTTTGTTCAGTATTTATTAAAAAAAAATATACAGACGGAAAAATAAATAATTATTCTAAAAGGATAATTTTATTTAGCAAAATATCTCACCATCACTGATGCATCCAGGTCGCACTCAGTCACCATATGTTTGGTCTAAAACGCAACTGCTCTCCTGTATTGCCGCAGGACAGCAAATGTCAAGTTACATTTTCTGTAATCTTTGCAGGATTGTGATATGAAGAGTGTGCAGATTAACATATTTTAGCATCAGTGTAAAAGTGAATAGCACATAAGAGGCACTATTCCGGTAAACATGAATATCTATTGGTACAACATGGATCACATGACTAAACTTAAAATACCTCCGGCTTCCACAGTCCACACTACAACGCGAAAACGGCGTTTTCAAATTTATCCGCTTCGGAGAGCGTTTTCCAAAAGAGACGTTTACATGGACTTACCACGGCGTCTCAGTGTGGGCAGAAGGCCAAACCGGAGAGAAAAATATACGTATTAGTGTGGACATGGCCGCCTGGCATTAGTTGACGATGTTAGAATTTATTTTATGGCAATAGTGCGTATCCATTAGTCGTAGTAGTGGTGTAAATCTACACAAGAGACGCATTAATAAGTATCTTAAACAGCAAAAACACAGTCCTGTAGTCTGCCGTTGTCAAGTACTCGTGCACGCCTATAGACTGAACACGTATTACGCATGCGCATGACGTACATTTCTTAATAATATCCTTTCCTCCTCTTTTTGCCAACTGTCCAGGTGTTACAGTTCTTACTTTGAGAAGTACGAAGGAGCTCATTGTGAGCTGTACAGCAGAGGGGCTGGTTTCTACGCCGTTCTCTTCGGCAGTTTAGCAGCTTTTGCTCTACTTATGATTGTTTCAGCTGTGATGGTTGTGGTGCTCTACAGGGCCAAGAGGTCAGTCGAACTTTTCCTGTGACTTAAGCTTTCAAAAAAAAAAAAAAAATCAAAACAAATAACTCAATAATCTAATTTCAACAGAACACGGAAGCTATCATTTTTTGATGATGTCGCCTTTGATTTCTCATCAAGAGGTATGATGTCATATTGTTGCTATACGCATGCACTCCAGCAGAAGTACAGACTCTCAAACATTAGAAATGATGTGATGTATTATAATTGAAAATATTAACTATATTATTGCAGGACCCATTGACAGAGGCTATTGGCATCAAAACTTTTCAGCCACAGAAGACTCAGAACCAGGGTCTTATGGAGAGCACAATTATCATTCATCTGCATGGTAGGATACGAAATTTTATATATATATATATATATATATATATATATTATTTTTTTAATATGAGAAAGGGAAGAAGCATAGCAAACCTAAAATCAGCAGTCAAAATGACTACGCTATATTAAGATCATTAATGACACTAAATAGCGGGTTTTCACCGACGTCACGTTCTGGGCGGTAACCCGGATGAACGACCATTATGGAGGCACTCGGATGTAAACAGCATGGATTGCACTGTTAGTACTACTGAACACATTGTTACAGTAAAAAAACACAGAAAAACCCGTGGTAGGTGCGAAATCATATAGATTAGGACTTATCAAGCAGGAGAGAGCACAATATTTTGACAAACTAAAGTTAATTTGTGAGGTTCGAACGAGCTAGCTTCTCTAGCCCGTACTGCAATTCCATTTCTTATCCCGACATAAGCTACGCTCAGATTGTCAGTCCAAAAAGCACATAAAATCCGTTTCAAGCTGCTACATTCATATGTGGTTTGAAATCATATTAAAATACCAGGACATATGCCTCAGTCTGAATGATCGGATTTCGGTCAAAGCTTCATTTACACATGTGACTGATGAGCTGATGCTGTGCCTCTCTCAACCACAAATTAATGCTTTCTTTCATCATTTTTGCACTCTTCTCTTTAACTTTTGGCAGTCTATAGAACTCAAAAGGTATTTTCCTGGTGCGACCGATTAGTATAGACCAAAACGCGACCATTTTTCAGCAGAAATAATCAGCCAAATTTGCGAGTCCGTTCAGTTCAGTGGCATTGTTTATGTTCCGTGCCTCCAAAATGGCCGACTTCCGGATTGATGACGCGTCGTGAAAACCCTCTCGGTTGTTTTATTGATTATTTAATCACAATATTCGAATCTTTTTTTCCTCTCTGCCACAGATCAACAGACCAGAGCAACTGAAGTGATGGATGTCTGGTTTGCCACGCCGACACAATCAATCACAAACACGGCCAATCAGAACAATCCTCTCTGTTTGCGCACCCTATCCCTCTGAAAACTAAGCACACATACCTTGTATGTCCTATGACTTCTGTGATGCTTCATGCTTTTAATGGTGTATTGTGTAATGTCCTCTTGTAAACTTTACGCAATCACACTCCATGTTTGGTAATTATGAGTTGATTGCACATCGGTCCAATGAGCCGTTATGTGGGAGGGGCTTCCTGCTCAACGCGCATGCGCGCACACACAAACCATAATGCTCGTCGGAAACAAGAGCTGAAGAGAAATGCGAGGAAAAGTATGAGAGGGTGATACTCTGGGAATAAAAAATGATAATAATAATAATAATAATCATAAATCTACATAATAATTATTTCCCCTTGAAAAAGTAATTTAAGGGATTAGCTACTCTTCATTTTTTTGTAATTTAATTAGTTACTTCTGATGTAATTACATTAAATACTGTGTTGGCTAGAACAAACAAAAGGGGGTGTAATATCTAACGTTAAAATGTTGCCTATATTTTTATGTAACTAGCCTATTTAAATAGCCTACTTTGGTAAGGTCAATATTTATCCATGCAATTTTATATTATTTATTTGAAAGAATTAAAAGAGCAGTTTCATATTTTGTATTTGTTCAACTGCTAAATGTTGATATGGGACTTAAAGTAGTAATGCAATTTGGAGAGACTAAATAGTAGGTCTATAGTAATATAATTACATTGTGTAATTAGTAATAATAGCCTATAAAGAGCCTTTGTGCCAAAAGGGTTCTTTGGAGTTGAGTAAGGAACCCGATGCTTCATATAAAGAACCCCAATGAACCCTTTTTTCTCAGAGTTGCAAACAGTATATTGAGTTAAAGTATGCCAATGTGGTTACTATAGCAAAAACATGATGGTGTTTGAATCGAACATTTTAAAATGAGTCAAAATCTTATAGTTCCCAAAATATAGTCCATAACCAGCTTCTGTCTCCTCCACACCATAATGTTAAAAAAGCAGATTAAAACCATTACGATGAAAATGGTGGCATATAATGAGTCAATCATCTTCAGTTTGGATTGTATTTATGATGATGGGCATAATAAATTCAGTGGATTTGCTTATTTTCTATTCATTCTGGGGTTTATTTTTCATTTTAATAAATATTACATTGATATTTGGTACAGGAACAGTGGATTAAAGTTGCTTGAAAACTAAAACTGAAGGTCTAAAAAGCATTCATGTATACATTATCAGTCGATTTATGATGCATGCACATGTTTCCATCTCTGCTGTGGTCTCATAGCGAAATCATTTACCACTAATTACAAAACTTTGAAATGATTTGACACTGCGGCTCAACCACTTATAAACATGGTATAGAGAGAATATCAAAATCTTGTTTCCTGCTTGTTACTTTAAACAGACCTTGTCCTTAAGTGAGGAATTCTCTTTTTTCTGGTGCGTTATCTGGTCATCCGAACAAGCCCGACAGGACAGTCACGGATGATTACGGCCTTAAAAGCTTGTCTTATGGTCCACGGGAGCATGAGATCTTCACAAGAGCATCACACACACACGTGAAAAGAATGGGAGTTTTCAGCTCAAATTTCTCTGCTGATCCACCATTAAAGATGCATTTGGTTTGCCCTGTATCTGGATCTGTTCATTCACTGTCTATTCATTTAAACACTTACGTCAACGTTCCACCCGACAATAAACTTTATAAAACAGTGATGTGGGAGTACACCAATCCATGCTGGTGTGAGGCTACTTTAGTCTGACAGCATGAAAATAATATACAGCAGTGGTTCTCAAAGTGGGGTCCGCGGACCCCTGGGGGTCCGCGAGCTAAAGCCAGGGGGTCCGCGAAATAATTTACAACCTAACGTTTTTTTCCATGCTATGAGTCATGTTTTCTTTATCATCTGAAAACATGCTGTTTATTCCTAAGTAACTTATATAAAGCATTTAACATAAAACAATACAAAGTAGACACTTAAAGTTTTCTATAGATAATCTATGTCTTTGCGTCAAGTAGATTCGCTGCTGTTGATTTTGCGGGACGTGCGCCAGAAAGGAGACAGAGAGACGGCATGAACCCGCATCCGGTTCTTTTCTGTATTTTTAAAAGGCATGGCATTTTGTAGTCATTTATAATGTAGCCTATACACAAATAAAAAATGGACACTTTACCGTTTCGGATGATGCACTCTTGTCTTATCTATGACCATAAATAAGAGTATTCCTGTTTCCACTGCTGAGGAAAAATTCCCATGTAATTGCGCGCCGGCGTCTCGCGTGCGCGCACAATAGTCAGTTCTAGCACTGCTACTGTAGATTTGACATTAGAAGTCTGATCATTATCAAAATAAAAGTGCATAGTGACAGGGCCGTACCCACAACTGAGGTTGCAAGGATGCACATCGCGATGATACTGACCTTCTCGTCTGAGGTGCTTCAGCAGACTAACAACGATAGCTCGTCAATGTCAAAATGTTTGAGTCGGAGTGAACTCAAAGTTCCCCGCACGACGTTTCAGTCAACGGTCATAAAGTGCGAGATAAGATGTAGGCCTTAAATTAACATAAACTAAACAGCTGTTTTAGATAAAAGTTTTAAAAAACGACTGAAACAATCAGTTTGCAAAGTATTAATCAAGCTCAACTTTAAAAAAGGAAAAAGCAGGTCAATAGAAACATACTGTGCCCATGAGATTAACATTATGGATTCATATATTTAACATATAGCCTACTGTATGTTTTTTTTAGCTAATTACAGTAGCTCAAATTAACAACGCACGCACCTATTAAACATAATGCCATTATCATTGTATTTATAGGCTTATGGGCTTTATTTGTGTGCAGAATAGGCCTAATTATTGAAACATTTCTCTTTTAAGGCCATTCCTGATTGGAATATGTGATTGTGTTTCGTGACATCTTGACAAAAAAAAAAAAAAATGTATGCCACTGACTGACATGCTTCTACTAAATCTATAGTTATCCAATTGTGGGGCCTTAAAACACCTTAAAATGCACATGTGTAGATCAAGAACATCAAAAATTCCTAAGTGAGGGATCCTAACTAAGTGATTCCTAGCAAGATCACTTTCGTTACCTCAGTAGGCTATTTAGAAATTCCTGCATAGTACCCTGGGTGGAGACCATTCATTTTGTGCAAAAATATTTCATTTGCCGCTCACACATTAACTTTGTGCTCAATAACTGTTATAAATATGAGGGGGGTCCTTGGAATTTTTTTTCCCCTGAAAGGGGTCCCTGGCACCAAAATGTTTGAGAACCCCTGATATACAGTACCAGTCAAAATTTTGGAAATTTTACCTTTTTTTTTTGTCTCTTATGTTCATTCAGCCTGCATTTTTTAATCAAAAATACAAGTGTATAGTAGTGAAATATTATTACAATTTAAAATAATGTTTTTCTGTTTTAATATACTTTATGAAATATAATTTATTCCTGTGATCAAAGCTGAATTTTTTCATTATTACTTCAGTGTCACATGATCCTTCAGATATCATTCTAATAAGATGATTTATCATCAATGTTGGAAACAGTTGTTAATAATATACTAACAACAGTTAGTTGTGCTGCCTAATATTTTTTATAACCTGTAATACTTTTTTCAGGATTCATTGATGAATCAAAAGATAAAAAGAACAGCATTTATTAAAAATAGAAGTCTTTTGTAACAATATACACTATCGTTCAAAAGTTTGGGTCAGTATTTTTTTTTTAAAGAAAGGAATATTTTTATTCAGCAAGGATGTGTTAAATAAATTGATTAAAAAATTATAGTAGCTAAAGATCAATGTTTGAAAATATTTCGATTTTGAATTAGAAAAAACGTTAAGCAGCACTTCATAGTTCCAACATTATTAATGCGTCATCATATTAAGAGTGATTTCTGAAGGATCACGTGACACACTGAAGACTAGTAATGATGCTGAAAATTTGATGACAGGAATATATTATATTTTAAAGCAGCCTGTATTAAAATAGAAAATTAATTCATAATAATATTTTATTTAATATTTATAATAATAATTTATTTTATTTTCTATAATATTTATATTTATTTTCTTTCTCTATTTTTGATCACATAAATGTATGAGCATTAAATATTTATTTTAAAATATTAAAAATAGTAATGTTTGCAAACCTTTTCCTAATTTGACTTCCTTTGACGTCTGAAGAAATCATAGACAGTGTATTGTTCAGGCAACAATAATAAAGATAAGAGAAATGACTGGTACAGGCTTCTTTTATTCCACGTGGTTGTACACACAGCATATCTCCATTACCACACACTCTTTAGCCAATGCACTTCATCTTATACAACACATTACTGCCATCTGCTGGAATCAATCATATACAGCTGTACTCATTACATCTCTTTTCCTTTTTTTTTTTTTTTTTTTTTTTTTTTTTTTTTTTTTTACTACATGTTACATGAACTTTCACATAATTACAAACACTTGACTATATAACACTCAATTCATTTTTTTTTTTTTTTTTTTTTTTTTTTTTACCAATTACAAGTCCATTCGAACAAGTGGTTTTCGAACTCGATTAGATCTCCGTAAGATAGGAATGTCAGTCTTTGGTACAGAGGAATCAAGTTCAGAATCAGGATCAAGTTGCTGATCAACAGAGGGCATTGAGGGCATTTCACAAGACTGCATTTCAGGGGACATCAGCTCCACAGTTGGCTCATCCAAAGGACATTTCTCTGCAGTCTTAAGCAAACTCTGTCGATTTCTCCGTAAGGTCTGCCCATCTTCTGTATGAACAAGATATGATCTCGGGTTTATCTCTTTTAGGACTGTAGCTTTCTTTCTCCATCCTGTAGGCTCCGCAACTCTAACGACATCTCGTTCAGAAAGAGGTTTTAGTTGCCGACTTCCCTTGTCATAATATTCTTTCTGCTTCTCTTTTATATGTTGCATCTCTTTCAATGACAAATCGTTGATTTCTTTTTTCAGAGATAATTTTGGAAGTGTGTCACGCAGTTTGCGATTCATCAATAACTCGGCAGGAGATAATCCACAACTGAGTGGAGAGGAACGGTAACTCAACAGAGACAGATTTTCATCCGAATTACTTGCCGCTGCTTTTTTCAAAAGTCTTTTTACAATTTGTACCCCTTTTTCTGCTTTACCATTTGCCTTTGGATAAAGAGGGCTTGAAGTAGTATGCTTAAAGCCATACTGCTCTGCAAACAGCCTGAATTCATGACTATTATACTGGGGACCATTGTCACTTTGCACACAATGAGGAATTCCATGCCTTGCAAAAATGCATTTCATACGTTGAATCATCTCGTTCGATGTTGTTTGACGGAGCTGTTCAACTTCAGGATAATTGGAATAGTAATCAATAACCACCAAATAATCCTTACCATTCAACTGGAAAAGATCAGTGCCTACTTTTTGCCACGGCTCAGTAGGAAGAGCAGCTACCATCATGGGTTCTTTAGCCAGTTTATAATGATGACTCAAACAGACCGCACACTGACTGATGAATTTCTTAATGTGCATGTTAATTCCTGGCCAAAAAACAGCTTGTCTAGCTCTTCTCTTGCATTTTTCAATGCCAAGATGCCCTTCATGGATTCGACGAAGCATGTCTTGGCGCATTGATACTGGAATGACAATTCTGTTATTTTTCATCAGCATGCCCTCAACCACACTCAATTCTGCCCTTAATGGAAAATACTGTGGACACTTGCCTTTGGGCCATCCACGATGAAGATGTGCAATAACCCTCTGCAGTTCAGAATCTTTTGCAGTTTCCTCCGCAATGAGTCTTAACATCTCATCTGAGACTGGTAGAGATGAAACCACCATACTCACATGTCTCTCAACTTCGTCCATATTGCTGATCTCTGAGGCGGCTGGTGCTCGAGACAGTGCATCAGCTACAATGATATACTTTCCAGGGGTATAAACTAAATTCAGATCATATCTTTGTAACTTCATCATCATGCGTTGAATTCTAGGTGACATGTCATTTAAGTTCTTTTGAATGATAGATATTAATGGTTTATGATCCGTCTCTACTGTAAAAGTAGGTAATCCATAAACAAATCCATGGAATTTATCACAGCCAAA